TAATAATTACTTGCACACTCAGGATTAAGTAGCAAATGCTGTCCAATTGCAAAAAGCACTGACAATGTTATATAGTATGTTGTGAGCACTACATGCATGGGTTAGCTGGGTATGGTCAGTACCTTGCTTGTTATGAATAGATGAGGGGCTAAGCTGTTTGATATGACCAGCCAATCTTTGTGACGTACATCCTGCATACCTACCTGAATTTCACACACCACATTGTTCACGTATGGACGCAGGACTCATTTCTGGCTCCACGGCAGCATCCTGTTATCATGAACTCCATTTGTGTTGCTGCTGAACAACAGCAGTGTAAAACAGCATGAACCTGTTGTTCAAACCTTCGACATGGTGTAATAGGAGGTAGATCGGTCACATTTCAGGACCAAATGTAATGACTGTAGGCCCATTCATGATTTTACTTGATACACAACATCAAATGCTGTTGAGTACAGTGCACCAAAGGCAGTTTATGAATAATGGCTACCTTGATCAGGTTGGCAGATTGTATCAAACAGCGTATCCTTTCATTCACAGCAAGCAAGGTACCATCCAGATTGCACTTGTAAAACTCACAACAGTGCTCAGCATTAAATATGACACTGCAATTGGACAATGTTTTCTATATAATACCAATTGTGCAAAGAATTACTCACTGATAACCAATTTTGGTGTAGTTGCAGTGTGGTGCAGTGTAGTTGCAGTGAAGCTACTTATTAATACATATGGCCCTGTTCTTTGCAGACAGAGATCACGCATACACACACTGCCTGTTTCAACACAAAATAGATAAATTCTCTGACAACAAGGTGCAGGGCTGGATGAACACAGCAGGCCAAGCAGCATCATAGGAGCAGAGAGGCTGACGTTTCGGGCCTAGACCCTTCATCAGAAAAGGGAAAGGGGAAGGGGGTTCTGAAATAAATAGGGAGAGAGTGGGAGGTGGATAGAAGATGGATAGAGGAGAGGAAACAAACAGGTCGAAGAGGCGGGGATGGAGCCAGTAAAGGTGAGTGTAGGTAGGGAGTTAGGAAGGGGATAGGTCAGTCCAGGGAGGACAGACAGGTCAAGGGGGCGGGATGAGGTTGGTCGGTAGGAGATGGAGGTGCGGCTTGAGGTGGGAGGAGGGGATAGGTGAGAGGAAGAACAGGTTAGGGAGGCAGGGACGAGCTGGACTGGTTTTGGGATGCTGTAGGGGGAGGGGAGATTTTGAAACTTGTGAAATCCACATTGATACCATTGGGCTGCAGGGTTCCCAAGTGGAATATGAGTTGCTGTTCCTGCAACCTTCGGGTGGCATCGTTGTGGCACTGCAGGAGGCCCAGGATGGACATGTCGTCTGAGGAATGGGAGGTGCAGTTTTTATTGCGAACCGAGTGTAGGTGTTCTGCAAAGCGGTCCCCGAGCCTCCGCTTGGTTTCCCCGATGTAGAGGAAGCCACACCGGGTACAGCGGATGCAGTATACCACATTGGCAGATGTGCAGGTGAACATCTGCTTGATGTGGAAAGTCTTCTTGGGGCCTGGGATGGGGGTGAGGGAGGAGGTATGGGGGCAGGTGTAGCACTTCCTGCGGTTGCAGGGAAAAGTGCCGGGTGTGGTGGAGCTGGAGGGGAGTGTGGAGCGGACAAGGGAGTCACGGAGAGAGCCTCTCTGCTCCTATGATGCTGCTTGGCCTGCTGTGTTCATCCAGCCCTGCACCTTGTTATCATAAAAACCCATTGGGCTCAGTAATGCCCTTTGGGGGTGGAAGTCTGCCATCGTTTTCTGGCCTGGCCTAAATGTGACTCCAGACCCACCGCAATGTCGTAGACTCAACTGCACTCTGAAATAGCTGAGTAAGCACCTCAGTTCAATTGGGACATGCAACAAATGCTCATCTCCTCAACAAGGCCACATCCCATGAAAGTATAATGGGAATAAAAAACAAAAGTTACAACGTCCCTACATAAAATAAACATTTCAGCCTCGGCTGGGTATTGTGTCGTGTCCAGTTCTGGACAACATGCCTCGGAGGAATTGGATAGAGATAGACAAGATTTGGGAGAACTGCTCCAGGGAAAGAACTTCAGTGACATGGACAGACTGGGGACGATTCTCAGAGAAGCAGAGAAGACATTGAGGTATCAAGAGGTAAAACCTTTTGATGTAATGAGTGGTTAGGATCTGGAGTGCATTGCCAGACTATGTGATAAGGGCAGATTGAATTATGCCTTTTAAAAGAGTAGAAAACAAAGGAGTGGGACTGGAGGAGTTGCTTTTGCAGAGGAAGCACACATTCAAAGGGCCAAATGGCTGCTTTCATTGCCGTAACCATTCTAGGATTCTTGGACGCGAAACAATTAAATAATAATCAGGTACCGTGTGCTCCATTGAGAAGCAAGCATTAGGCTTGAAAGGTTGAACTAATTGAGTTCTACTGGATCAATTAACATAGGTAATCAATTAACATAGGCGAGAAAGGAGAACTGTCACCCACCTGAAGCATCTTTTATGTTTGGCAAAAGTGTGTATGGGCTGTGTTTTTTTTGTACAAGTATTGAGACAATGCAGCACAAAATAGGAGAAAAACATCTGCGATGCCATTGCTTGACTTAACTCCCCTCCATCAGTAACCATGGTTACATTATACAGACTGTGCCAATTACTTAACTGCTACAGAAACTAAGACTGTCTGTAAAACTGTTTACAAAGACACCAGTCCTCAATTCAAAAAAAATATACAGGTTTAGAAATAAGGGGCATTTTTTTGTGACCGAGTTGAGATGTGGGTATAAAAACAAGTCGCACTTTTTTCTGAGGAGTGGGCCACATCTTCCAGCCTAACTACATTCCTCTCTGTTCACTACATGTTCACGCACAGGTAAAGTGCCAAATTTTATGGAAGTTCTACCCTCCCCCATCAAGACCTTCCAGGCTGCAACATCTAGAAACACAATGAAAGGATAGCCAGACAATACGTCACTCTTTACAACCCAGGAACATCAATCAACCACTCCTCCTCACATCAAAGGCCAGTCAGAAAGCAGTGCCATCTCCTTAGAGATTCTCCTGAAGAGTGCGCAGGAGGGAAAGGAAGTTCTTCTCCCTCAACAACAGTAATACAAGGCCACGCTGACTGATGAAAGCAACCTCAACACAGGTGGCTACAGAGGTTAGTACCTGCACGTGGCTCAAGAGAACCTGCCTTCAATGCCACAAGGTAAATAACCTTTTGTGGTCCGAAGGGTATTCACCATTGTTTACTCAATGCTTCAAGATTCACACAGGAGGTTGAGTGCCAGATATCTCCATCAAATGTCTCAAGTGTTACCTTCATTGCAGCTCCCAATGTAGACTACTGGCACCACAATGGTACTGCTCCTCACGTCTGAGGAAGTTTACACTAAAACCATAAACAGCTACAGCACTCAGCAGCTCAGGTACCATTGAGTCACTGATCTGTCTTTACAACCTGAAATTACACATCAAACAGCTCTTCAAAGACTTGCACAAGTCAAGGACATAACCACAAAAGCTGGGCATTTGGGTTCGAGTCCCACCGGCCTGCCCCGTTCAGGTTTGTGGGCATCATCCAGTGTAGCTGCTTCATTTGGGTAGACCACAAACACCAGATCATTTAACACCAGAGTGCTTGCTGATCGTCAGGTGATCAATATGGAGAGGCTTCACTGCTGACACGGTTTTGCAAATTAATACCTTAGTTATGAAGGAGCCATTATTAAATGAAGATGTTTGTACTCACTAGAACTTGGGGGAACAAGTTGACCCCACCAGGTACAAGTGTCATGTATAGTTGAGTTTGTGAATATAAGCATTTCCTGTTTTTAGCTAAAAAATTGCACTCGTGAACACAATTCCAGAGGACTGATGTGTTAATGAATATACATGGCACATTATTAAATGGGAAACAGGTTCCAAATCATGAAGGACCCTCTTGAAAAGCTCAGCAAACTTAACAGCAAAACTAACTCACCATTGTGAAACCAAATTTTTGCCTCTTGCCCAATTAAGTTTCTTACCCACCCTTCTAAAAGAAACTGGAAAATTCCACCCAAGATTGTTCATCTGAGGATTGAGAGAGCAGGGACATTTTTGCAATGGAATAAAGACCAGGTTCACTTTGACACAACCTATTTCTTGGTGAAAATTGCTAACTGCTTGTGTTGAACTGAAGAAATCCAACAACTCAGTAAGAATTCTTTTTGCGGTTTTCCATTCATGGGATTAACAGATATTTTCATCATCATATCCTACTCACTACTCGTAGCCAGCGTTATCTAGCAACTGAAACACATGGAAATGTATTGGGTTCAGTGCCATCAGGAACAGTACTATGGGTTAGTAGTATCAATTCCCTTTTCAACATTATTTCACACAAAGGAAATCAACAACTTCTGCAAATAGGATAAATAACATCAAATGACTTAAAGCAACAAAAATAAAAATGAGGAACACAGTTATAATATCCACTGGGTTGAATGTGCTGTGTAATGTGAGCATTTTAATGTTTGTTACATTTCAGTACTACTTTCACAAAACGTACAGCTTTACAAAGATCCATCTGGGATGTCCTTAGGACATATATATGTATGTATGTTAGTTTTTCAATTGAAAAATTTTAATAAAAACATTCTTAGTTAAAATTTAGAACAGTGTTGGCCTCCTTAATTCAATCACTGTATCTAAGAGATTATAAACCAGCTTTATACTTGGGTATCATGTGCCAGCTTAGCTCAACATATCTTAATTTGTAGGATGTTTATATCCGAGACAGGATGGGAAACAAACCACTTAACTGAAATACAAACTGCTTTTTTGGGCTAGTCAAACGTTGTATTATAAACACTCCTCTGAAGTGCCTCATGAGGTTTTCCTTCATTGAAGATGCTGTACGAGTATAAATCATTGCTGTTTAGTATAATAAGCTTTTCATTAGCAGCTTTTGTTCAACTAAGTTATACTCAATACACATCAATCTCTCTTGTTCAAAAGAATGGGTTCGTCAAAAGCTTCCAGAGGAAGTCTAGCCAGGTGATGTCCATACACTGTAGAAAAACAAGGAAACCACTGCACAAGAATGTAAATTGCATCATATTTGGACAGGAGTCACAAACCATGAGGAACTAGACAAGTTTTTCAATGACTGAGTGATTGCTGCCATTCACTTGTTCTTTGACAACTTAAATTTGTTTGGCTGTTAAAGTCAAGTTTTCTAACAATCTTTTGTTAACAAGGATGATCATGTGAAAACATGGAATCAAAACTGTGGCTGAAACAAAGACAGCAAGGCTCTCTGTTCCCTTGGCATTTACCATGTTATCTGGGTAAGAAAGTAAAGTCTCTCTGGGACACAAAGCAGCATGGCATACAGAAGGCAAAAACCGTCAGAGTCCCAGAGAAAATAAAGATTAAAATCAAATGGTGTGAATTTAAAACAATAAAAGTTTTGGGCCATTTATGGTCTACTTTCATATTTGTGATTCTAGATTTGCTAAGCCCAAACCCAGTGGCTAGATGCTTTGAGATTCACATTGCTATTAACCAAAAAAAAAATCAAAGCCTTATTAACATCAAAAGTTACTGCCACCACACAATCAGGGTCTCCAGCATCTGCAGTTCCTACTATCTCTGAAACAATTTTAACCCCACTGCGAAGCCTCTTCTAAGGATGCCTACCCTGAATAAGTTACCCTCCTCCCTCCGGACAAACCTCAGGGGATCTCTCCGTATTTATTTCAGAACCCCCTTCCCCTCCCCCATTTCTGAAGAAGGGTCTAGGCCCGAAACGTCAGCCTTTCTGCTCCTCTGATGCTGCTTGGCCTGCTGCGTTCATCCAGCTCTACACCTTGTTGCCTAAAATATTTTTTTTTCAATGTTTAAGAAGTAAATATTTCTACGCAACACATTCAAAAATACTGAATGCCACAGGGCCGTGAGTGATCGACATTTCCACTGGACAGTAGTCAGAGCTGAAATTCAAAATTGATTCCTTTGGTCATTTTAATGACCATTATATTGAGAACATCCTGTTAGAAAAGAGGCCTATGCAAACCTCCTAACAAGGTTTAAACAGCAGCAGCTGTGGAAATAACTGCAATGTGTAACCATTCATGCCATAAAACATCCCAAGGCACTTCGCAGTTGGGTGCAAGAAAAATAATGGACTAAAAAAAGAGGAATTAGGAGGATTGAGCGCTTGTTAAAGAAATGGGCTTTGAGGATCACTTTGAATTGCAGCAAGAGAAAGAGGCTGAGGTTCCGATGGGATTTTGAAACAGTAGGACAGAAATGGATAAATTCTGTCACTAAAGATGGGCGAAGAGGGGATGAATTTCACTGCTCTCTATCTTTCGCCTCCAGTGATCAGCAATGAATATGAGTCTGGAGAGTGTGTTCTGGAGATAGAGTGAGGCAAGATCACAGAGGGATTTATAAAAAGGACAAAGGATTTAAAATATGTGATACACTGGGGAATTGCAGACCAGTACAGGGCAGTAGAGAAGGATGAGCTGTAAGCAGGACAGCAGAAAGGATATAACAGCACCTTGACATGTTGGATTCTTTTGAAGGGTGGATGTTGGGAGAACAAAAAGCATGTTGTAATTCTTAGGATTGGGATATGAAAGAAATAGGAGGCAAATGGCCAGAAAGAGATAAGCTTACAAGTGCATGGGGAAGAGATAGACAAGAATCGCTAAGATATGGAGGTCCTGCAGTAGTGGGGTAGGAGAGTACAGAAGGCAACCATTATTCATATAGCCTATGCAATAGCCAGTTCATGAGCTCACTATGTAGTGAATTATCAACACCCACCATGTGGGGGAAAACTCCTGAAGGTGGCAGTCATGGAAAATAAACCAAGCTTATTGACAGCATGTTCTGTATTGTGGAAACTGTATCCTTTCCAGCTCATTCCTACTAGGCAGAAATGAACCAGGAAGAGCTGAAATAGGTCGCTACTCAACTGTGATGACTATGTTGTGTTACAGGGCTGGACTTCTTCAGAATGCAATGGTGCACTTGTCAAAGGAAGGTTATTTCAAATTTTGAAATAAAATCTCTGTAAAAACAATATAAATGGTCTTGTAGCTCTTCTCCCTCACAATACCATTAATTTGGGAAATTCACAGTTCCTGAAATAATTTTCACTAGTGTTTATAATGAGATCTGGAGTATAGCTATACTTCCTCATATCCCCAGTGTGTTTCAGTGAACTTTAAAATCTTTCTAAATACAAGTCATCCTTAATGTACAAAATATCACAACATGTACAGCATTAATCAACACAGATGCGCAAAGAACAAAGAATAATATAGCACAGGAACAGGCCCTTCGGCCCGCCAAGCCAATGCCAACAAACGACACTTTTCTAAACTAAAATCCTTTTGTCTCTACGCTGTCTGTATCCCTCTATTCCCTACCAATTCATCTGTCAGTCAAGATGCCTCTTAAAAGTTGCTATTATATCTGCTTTTACCACTTGCTATGGTAGTGTATTCCAGGCACTTACCACTCTCTGAAAAACAAAACCTGCCTTTCATATCTTCTTTCACCTACGTCTCCCAGTAATTGACATTTCTACCCTGGAAAAAGGACTCCAACTATCTATTCTATACAGTCTTCTCCCAATTTTGTACTGTTTTATGCATTAGCACTAAAACTTAAAAGATTCTCGAGGAATCCTGAGTTTTAGGAGAAAGTCCCATTTTCTCCTCAGTCCCAGCTGGGAGTCCATATACACTGTGCTGCTAGTTTTCAATGTGTAGTATTTGGTGCCAGAGAGACCATTTATATTGTTTTTAAAAATACACAAATCTGTCTCTAAATGAACAATTCAGACTGGAGACTAATGCAAAAATACATGCTACTAACCTGAAGATACTCAGTGAAAAATGATCCAAGTTCTGTTTTCAACAACTGTCTGCAGCAAGAGAAAAAAAAGTCAAGATTAGAATCAAGTTGGGCCAGTCTAAACTAGTTGTGCCTGGGCATGGATCCACAGCTCAAAACTGTCCTCAACTAGCAAGTGCACTCAAAGGTCATAAAGAAGGATGGTGTGAGGAACTTGGGAAAAAAAAATGTAATTGGCACATGAAGCTTTTCTGAAATTATGACTAAGGTATATTGTATGGACAAAGTCAGGTGATCTTTAGTTTGCTTCCAATGATGACACATCTGCCTTTAGGCATTGGCAGTGGTAATGCAGAAGATGTCAATTTAACCATACCTACCAGGAAATACTCAGGATTTCAACATAGAATAAAACTGTCGTCATTAAGAAAGAGCAGTGTTACATTCATTCCTGTCAGTTTCCTGATGGACAAGTTAGGTCAAAATTCTACCATCCTTCCACGCCCCCATCCTCAAGGAAATGAAGTGGATTTAGTTCCCAAATCACAGCGAGTGGAAAACGCAAGTTGCTGATTGCTCCCTCAGTTAAGTCACACATGGTTTAAAAACATAAATGAACTCAATAGAGGTGGGAGTACAGCAGTCCCTGACTTTAGTCGTCTTGTTTTAAGTCATTGTCTGATTGGGGTAAACTTGTACACTTAGAGCTGGAATTTCCATTTTAGCATTGTTTCGTGCTGAGGTTGACGTAGTATTATGTGCCCTGCCATTTTGGATTGGCTTCTCCAGCTCTCCCACTCACTAACAATCCTCCTCCCAGCTTCCGCCCCTGATCTTTACCCTCATGACTCCTTTCACTTTTTCTCTGCTTCCAGCAAAGTTTTAGGAGAGGGGAGCAGGAAACAACAGGGAGCAGAAGAAGGAAGTGATGGGGAGAAGCATTAGTGAGCAGAAGTATAAAGAGTTAGCATAATTAATATTTTAAAATGTGCTTTTAAATGTTATTTCACTTACGAATATAGGAAATTGGGAATATATAATGTTTTGATGTTTTTTTTTATTCTAACATAGAATGTCCTACAGAATGTTCAACTGCAGCCTTTACGCTGGTTGCCATGGGAACATCAGTTTGGCTTCACTCTTCAGGAACTCAACTGGAACATTAAGTGAACAATTTAGCCCCTTGAGCCTCCTCTGCCATTTAACAAAATGATGGAAGATCTAAATTTTAATACTGCTTTAAAAAAAAACAAAGATGAAAACAGTTGACTAATGCAGGACAAAAATCATTCAAAAGCAGCTACATACAAAAGTGTACACAAAGAGCTCAGTAAACACACTGGTCAAAAACAGTGGCTTCAGATTGCACTGTATAAATCTCCTAGAGTCACTGTTATGGTCTCTCACCATGTTAACTCTGACTTTCTACTATTGAAATACTCCACTCTGTATTATGGTTTGTATTTCCCATCAACAATCTTTTGTTATTACAGTCTGCTTTCTAAATATTTCAGCTCAAGTATCAACCACTGGGGAAAATTTCAAAAGGAGATCGGTATTGTAGGTATTAAAACAAAAATTTATTTCCAAATAATTATAGCTGTTAATGATCCAATCTGGAGTGCAGGCTTGACAAGGTTGTAGTGTTCAACAGAGTGCAACCTTATTGAACTGATTAGACAGGACTTAAATCATGTGACTTTAAACATGTCAAATCAGTTCACCAGTGTTGTCATCATCACCGATTAAGTTCAATACTCAAAAATACAGGTAGTAAAGCAAAATAATGTATTACTCACAGTTTCATAGAATCATAGAATCCCTACAAGTGTGGAAACAGGCCCGTCGGCCCAACAAGTCCACACCGAACCTCAGAGCATCCCACCCGGACCCATCCCCCTAATCGACACATCCCTGAACACTACGGGCAATTTAGCATGGCCAATCCACCTAATCTGCACATCTTTGGACTGTAGGAGGAAACCGGAGCACCCGGAGGAAACCCACGCATACACGGGGAGAACTGAAACAGCTTAACGTACTCGGGTGTCACAAAAGGAACCTCCCAGCCATGATTTCAAAGCAAAGTGGCAAACAGCATTGGTCCCATGAAACTGCTTGCTTCCTAATAAACAAGTGAATCAGGTACAAGGTACAGACAGTCATGAAAATAGTCGTCACTGGAAGGGGAAAGTCAATTAAAGCACTATTACTTTTTCCCAGGTAGACTTACCATCTTTTCACATGACATTGCTGCAGATCATATTAAATTACAAAAAGCATCATTTTTCGTCACCAAATTCTTAGCTTCTCTACCAAAATAGAATTTTCCAAACAACTGGCTTATCAGCAGATCAATTTATTTATAGGAAATGCTTATTTCAGTCTGCTTTCTTAAATCATGGAAACTCAAATTGGACAGACCAGCATTTCAGCAAAGAAAGAAAGGTTAATCTCAATTACAGAAATTCTTTGCTTACTTACCTGACTCCTTCGTTGAGACTATAGAGTTCATTATCGGGTAAACCCTTCCGCTGGAATACAGCGATTACAGCATTCTGTATGCTGCAAAACAAAAGACTCAACATTTGTCCAGACCAATTAAATAATACAGTCCAGCTCACACATACCAATTAACTAGACTAATTTAATATAATCATGCTTTTCACACCGGTACTACTTGTTGACACAATGCAGTGACTAGTGATCAGTCCAGTGCTTGTATTTCAAGTTAGTAACACATTTTCCTAAATATTAAATTTCAACCCAGGTACATCTTATAAATTATTTGTCCTCTTGGCTACAATTAAATTAAACTAACTTTGGAGTGGTGCTCAGATATGGGAAAGCAGCTGCCAGTTGTGGGTTAAAGTGCAGTTAATTCATTCCATTAATAAAATATCTGGTGGATTCCATTAAGTAATTTTAAAAGATCACATGATAACCGTAAACCAATCTGAATATGCAATGAAGGCAGACCTTTCACTTTGGAAGAAGCTTCTGAATATACTTCTAGAAAGATCTCATAGCAGTAAACAAGCTTAACATTAAATTATCTTCTCAACTGTGCAACTTCTCAACATCAGCAGTTATAAATGCTCACTTATTTAAAAAGATCTTACTACAAGAAGAATAAAAAATTTGCCTTCCATAAGCAGATGTCTCAGAGTGCTCATACCATTATTCTACCGAGAAATTAATTTCAAAGCTCCCAACTGAAGACACCTCAGTTGTTAGTCTATTAATCCCACATTTTAAAAAGGAGTCCTGTCTTTAATGTTACAGCTATAGATGATGCCAGAGCTGTACACTGTCCATAATCACTGCTTTATAGACTGCATGCACAAATTTTTTTTTTATATTTCCAAATTAGATACTATTTTTGTATGTAGATGCATACTCTTGGGTTATAACTTCATGTGTTATGATATGCATGTTATTGTAAATATTCAATTACTCTGTTACAGATGTTGTCCTGTACTTAAACAGTGTAGCTGACACCTCACCCCTTAAGGTTTCCTTGTTGTGGGTTGAGAATTGAGGTTCTCTCTTGGGGTGGGATGAGCTTTCCTTTCTGGAAACTCCAGATGACGGTCTCCCAGCAGGCCCAAGGCTCCGGTCCTGCTGTTGGAGGGGCTTCACCCTCCCATCACTGGGGCCTGCCCAAGCTAAGTAAAGTTTACCTGAACTTTTCAGAGTGCTCCAACACAGAGACACTCTCTCTTGTCTCCAGCTTCAACAGGAGGCCACTGATAGCAGTGGCACCATGCTGCCCACTAAATGGCAGAGTCCCATTGGCGAGGCAACCTGAAATTTGGAAACATTCAGCCCAATATTGACTTCAGTGGGTGTAGACAAGCAGTGTATTTAGATCCAGGCAATTTCCCGACAGGAGGGCCAACTCAAAACGGATGGATATTAGAAATCTAATGAAATAGAAACAGTAACACAGCTTCTGTGGAGAGAGAAGCATTTGATTTTTTGAACTGCCCATTCTTCAGGTGAAGAGTCAGAACGGATTCAGAACATTAACTGTTTCTCTCTCCAAAGTTACTGTAGCCTTGATATTTAATAATATTAAAAACAGGCACCTCTATTGCAGACTGCAAACTTATCTGAACGGAGAGTTTTGATCTATATAAACTAATATGCAATGCAGAGGTTAAGTTTTAAACGAGGAGCTAGCGAGCATCATCACAGGTCAGTAAGATGCACTTGTAAACAGTAACAGTGAGCCTGGGGCGGGGGGTGGTGAGGCTGCTTCCAGCCTTTACCTGTTCCAGGTGGCGTTGGAGCCGGCGCGTCGCTGCTGGGTCCCCCGCTCATCCAAGGTTGCCTGCTCGCTCTTTCCCAGGTCGCTGAGGCTGGGTGAACTCATGAACTTCGGTCTGCGGAAATTCCTCATGGTTAGTCCAAGAAAAAAACCTCACCCCAACAGCAAAATAAGAAAAGGGGGGGGGGGGGGGGGCGGGGGGCCAAGGAGAGAACGCTGCTTGGGCAAAAGCAGTTAGTGAATGGTGTCAGGAATCAACCGTACAGCAGGCGATAAAATAGAAAATGTTTAAAAAAAACACTCTCTGGAGGTAGCTTTAAAACAGAAACCGTTTCATAATTAACGGTGAATGTTTCAAAGAGTTAGTTTCCTTTTTTAAAAAAAAATGCAGATCAAAGTCAATGGTGACTACATTCCACACACTTTAAGCAGTAACCTGGGGCAAGTTCAAGGAAAACTACTCCTACACATTAATATTGCACATCTCTCCCTCACACACACAGAGACGAGACGCTAGCCAGCGGATCTGACGACGTGACTCCACCCTTACTGCTTTTTCCGAAGGGATTACTTGAAGGGGGGGGGGCGTGGGGGAAGAAGGTGGGAAGAGAGTTTGCAAGATATTGGCGACAAGTTTTTTTTAGAAAATAAACCCAAATCATTTACAACCAGAAGATATGAGAACAGTTGCGACAGTAGGAAAGTGTGAAATGCAACTGTGTGCGAATGTTCCTGTCGTACTTTCCATTGAAAAAGCTAAAAGAGATTTATTTTATGAGGACACTTTGCACCTTGTACAGAGCAGTTTGATCATTAGCTCACTTCCTGCTTTGGAACAGATTGATCACAGCGTTTGAACTATTTGCTACAAATGCAGTTTTTTTTTTAAAAAAAGAACAGTTTCCACTGAGCCGACACCGTTTAAGTATTAATTTTCAGTTAAAATGAAGAAGAAACGCACTTGGTGCATTTCAATCTCAGACAGTAAACGCTAGCAGTGGAAACTGATTCAGATTTAAGCACAGGATTCAAATTGAATTAAAGTCACTTCCCATAGAGGCTCGGTTCAGGGGTTAGCAATCTCAGTTCTGAAACAGGAGACTGCCGTTCCATTTCCTTACTCCGGAGACTCAAACACGTGAACTAGGTTGACATTTTCCGTGCAAGATTGACAAAATGCTGCTCTGTCACGGTTGGAGGGTGTAGTCTATAGCAAGCGGTAACCCAAAGCTGATGACAGCGCCTTATCAGCTGATGTTACATTTCCAATTGTTTCATTCTCTCTGCTCAGGTGAACGAGAAAGACCTCAGGTCACTAATCGAAAGTAGAGCAGGGGATTCCTCCAACGTCCCGCCGGAAATTTCTCTCTTAGCCAAAACCAGTAAAACAAAGCTGATCTATGTCAGTGCTGTTGTGGGATCTTTCTGTGCAATTCAACTGTCAAGAAAACCTACTGCTGATTATGTACCGTCCTCCCTTGGCTGATAAATCAGTACCCCTCGACGTTGAACATCATTTGGAGAAAGCACTGCGGGTGGCAAGGGTGCGAAATGTACTCTGGGTGGGGGATTTCAATGTCCACCACTTACAGTGTCTTGGTAGCAGTACTACTGATTGCGCTGGTAGGGCCCTAAAGGACATAGCTGCTAGACTGATTCTGTAACAGGTGCTGAGGGAACAAACAAGGAGCAAACATATGCTTGACCTCATCCTTACCAATCTGCCAGCCATAGATGCTTCTGTCCATGACTGTATCAGTAAGAGTGACCATCACACAGTCCTTGTGCAGGATCTAGCAGCACAAGACTGGGTATTCATGAGGCACTGTGGGCCGTCAACAGCAGCAGAAGTGTACTCCAGCGCGATCTGTAACCTCATGGCCCAGAATATCCCCCATGCAGCCATTCCAATCAAACCAGAGGATCAATACTGAAAACAAAAAATGCTGGAAATCACAGTGGGTCAACAGCATCCATGGAGAAAGAGCAAGCTAATGTCTTGAGTCGAGATAACTCTTCATCAGAGCTGAAGATCAACACTAGTTCAATGGAGAGTGCAGGAGGGCATGCCAGGAGCAGCACCAGGCATACCTAAAAGATGTGGTGTCAACCCTAGTGAAACTACCAGACAGGACGACTTGCACGCCAAACAGCAAAAGCAGCAAATGATAGGCAGAGCAAAGGGATCCCACAATCAACGGATTAGATCTAAGCTCTGCAGTCCTGCCACATCCAGTCGCGAATGGTGGTGGATAATTGAACAACTTACTGGAGGAGTAAGTCCTCCAGTGGTCCGCAGCATCACAGATACCAGTCTTCAGCCAATTCAATTCACTCCATGTGATATCAAGAAACAGTTGGAGGCACCGGAGACTGCAAAAGCTCTGGGCCCTACCAACATTCAGGAAATCGTACTGAAGACTTGTGATCCAGAACCTGCGGCTCCACTAGCCAAGCTCTTCCAGTACAGTTACAATACTGGCATCTACCTGACAATGTGGAACATTGCCCAGGTACATTCTGTACACAAAAGGCAGGATAAATCCAACCTGACCAATTATTGCACTATCAGTCTACTCTTGATCATCAGTAAAACGATGGAAAGTGTCATCAATAGTGCTGTCAAGCAGCACCTTCTCAGTGATGCCCAGTTTGCGTACTGCCAGGGCCAACTCAGCTCCTGACCACATTACAGCCTTGGTTTAAACATCGAAAAAAGAGCTGAATTCCAGAGGTGAGGTGAGATTGACAGTCCTTGACATTCAAGTCTGCATTTGACTGAATGTGGCATCAAGGAACTCTAGATGTGGAATCAATGGGTATTGGGGACAAACCTCCTGCTACCTGGAGTCATACCTGGCACATAGTTGTGGTTGTTGGAGGTCAATCATCTCAGCTCCAGGACATTTCTGCAGGAGTTGCTCAGGGTAGTGTCCAAGGCCCAACCATCTTCATCTGCCTCATCAATGACCTTCCCTCCATCATAAGGTCAGAAGTGGGGATGTTTGTCAGTGATTGCACAATGTTCAGCACCATTTGCGACTCCTCAGATACTGAAGCAAGTCCATGTTCAAAATAACAAGATGTAGGCTTGGGTTTACAAGTGACAAGTAACATCTGTGCCACAAATACCAGTCAATGACCATCTCCAATAAGAGACAATCCTAACCACTGCCCATTGACATTCATTGGTGTTACCATCACTGAATCCATCCTATCAGAATCCCTGAGGTTGCCATTGACCAAAAACTCAACTAAAATCGCCACATAAACACTGTGGTTACAAGAGCAGGTCAGAGGCTTAGAATACTGCGGCAAGGACCTCACCTCCTGACTCCCCAAAGCCTGTCCACCATTTACAAGGCACAAGTCAGGAGTGTGATAGAATGCTCCCCACTTTCCTGGATCGGTGCAACAACACTCAAGGAGCTTGACACTGTCCAGGACAAAGAAGCCTGCTTAATTGACACCACATCCACACCCTCCACCACCGATGCTCAGAAGCAGCAGTGTGTACTATCGAAAAGATGTAGAAATGCACCAAAGATCCTTAGACTGTACCTTCCAAACCCACGACCACTTTCATCTAGAAGGATAAGGGCAGCAGATACATGGAAACACTGCTACCATCAAGTTCCCCTCCAAGCCAGTCACCGTCCTGACTTGGAAATATATCATTATTTCTTCAATGTCGCTGGGTCAAAATCCTGGAATTCCCTCCCCTAAGGGCCAACCTGCAGCATTTGGATGGCAGTGATTCTCAGAAGGCAGCTTACCATCACCTTCTCAAGGGCAACTATGGACGGACCGTAAATGCTGATCAGGCAGTGACGCCTATGTTCTACGAGTGAATTTTAAAAAATCAACAAATTAAATACATCAGCTGAAAGTGAAATTAGGAGCAGGAGAAGACCATTCAGCCCTTCAAACCTGTTCCATCAGTCAGTATGATCATGGCTTATCCTCTATCTCAATGCCACATTCCTGCTTTCTCTCCATACCTCTTGATGTTTCTAAACATGTATCAATCTCTTTCTTGATTGTACCCAGTCACCCATCAGATGGCAAAAGGAGAAGCTGGGCAATTAGGACACTGTATCATGGGAGGTCATGTTGCCTGTCACACTGCTGGTCAGTGCCAGCTCAGGACTCCCATTTACTTCCACCATTAGCATCCAGAAGCACATGGGAATTTGCCACCCACTGAATCTGTGCCAGCTCTTTGTGAGGGCAAAATTAATATCACTGCCCAGTTCCCACCTAGTAAAGGAATGAGGAAGAAAAGTAGGCACTTGGCCCTTCAAGCCTGCTCACCATTAGATAAGATTGTGGCTCATCGGATTTTAACTTCAACTCTACAATCCTGCTTCTCCCAATAATCTTACATCCGCTTGGTAGTCAAGAATCTATTTACCCCGCCTTAAAGATATTTAAAGTTTCTGCATCCACTATCTTTTGAGGAAGGAAATTCCAAGAGCTCAAAACCCTCTGAGAAAAAATATCCCCTCATCTCTGTTTTGAAGGGCGACCCCTTATTTTTAAACTATGAGCCCTAGTTCTAGTATCTCTGTATCTTTTTCTGCTTTTAACATCTATACAAATTTCCTTGAAAATGAAGTGGTCTTTGCTTAAACCAATCTCTGTGGCAAGGAATCCTTTACACTTGCAACTCAGAAATTGCTCCTAACCTCTCCCCTCACTTCCACAGTGATAATATTATCTTGAAAAGCTCTCATCATTGACTCTTCAGCCAAAGGAAACAGTCTTTTCCATACACTCGATGAAAACTGTTCATAATTTTAATAAACTCAGAAGAATTAATCTCCTGTTCGCCTTCTTTGGTTTAACGAAAAAAAATCTGGTCTCTCATGAAGAGGAAAGCTTTAGTCTACAGGACGATGCAGGTGAGCTGGTCAGAAGGAGTTTAATCCCGAGAAGTGTGAAGTCATGCATTTTGAGCAGACTAACAAGGCAAGGGAGGACATGATGAATGGTAGGACCCTGGGAAGTTCAGATGATTAGCAGGACCCCTTGGTGAGCATGCATATAGATCTTTGAATGCAGCAGGACAGGTTGATAAGATAGTTAAGAAGGTATATTTACCATTATTAGTCAAGGCACAACATACAAGA